CGCAAGTCGTTCCTTCAGTTTGACGTTATTCAGCACAAGATCAGAGTTGTGATTGTCACCTAGACGATTTGGATGGAAAAAATGTTGTCACAGCGTGCGGAAGGTGCCAGTAAATCAAACGGATGGCACACTTCTCTCGCTCAGAGCTTCTAACTTCTTCATGAGACATTCCTGAAAGGCCTCAGATTTAGCTCGAAAGTTACGCTCCAACTCCAGTTCTTTTGTTAGCTAAAAGGAATTATACGTTGCCCAATTTCCGACCATTCGATATGCAAAACTTTCAGAAAGACTAAAATTTCATTTGCCTTAGCACCTTTGTTAGTTGTAGTGCCAATCTCCTTTTTTCCTGTTTGTCAAAACTAACTTGGACTGATGCACATTGAAGGGTCCTGGGTAAGAGCAGTTCCATATAATGAGATACATTCTCGCTCTCTGTTTGAATGCCACAAGAATATTTTGCCTGAAATGCAGGTGGAGAAGTAGTTAGGCATATTGCTGCTGATCAAAGGCAAATAATTGAAAAGATGAAATTGCCTTGTTCTCTTTAAGACCTACTAAAGCATCCGGTTCCAAGATTGAGGGGTTTTTGGAAGGGACCTCACGGGAATAGGAATCAACTTTCAAAGTCTGAGGCAGTCCTTCTAATAAAGTCACTCGGAAACCCACAAGAGTGCACATGGGGTTGTCATCCACGGTCAGCGGTTCATCAGACACAAAGAGCTCTGTGAGACACTTCATTTCCGATAAGTCCATTATCAGATCGTCAATTGATGACAGCCTATTTCCCCGAATGTCCAAACAGGACAGGGGATGATTGCAAACTCCGCGCAAACTGGAGAGATTCGTTAACTGATTGTACGATAAATTCAGGTCAACTAAAGAGCTTAAAATATTTCGAAACCGCATTAAGAACGGGTACAAGGTGCAAATATCCACACAAATAACGCATTCAACTGATTTATGAGTATTAAAAAACAACCAGACATATGAAATAACATATTTTTTATAAGATTACCGTAACTGCACTAGTATAAATTGAATATTACTCATATCCTGCTTCAACAAATAGAAGACTCGAAGCCTGAAGATCAAAGGCGTTTTACCTTAAATATTGGAAATCCTTAACTGTTTTAAGGTTGTTTGCACTTAGATTTAACCGCTTAAGATTTCGAAGCTTCTCATCGCAACAAAACGTTGTCAAGAGGTTCGACGATAAGTCCAAACTAGTTAATGAGTTTGGAAAAATACCAGGTTCAATTAATCGTATCCTGTTGAAATGCATATTGATGGAGTGAATGTTATCACTAAGTGGGATGTCAGAAATATTTTCGATGTTGGCATTGATTAGGCAAATAGTTTTAGGTAACATAAGCTATGTGCTCGCGTACAATCTCCAATAGCGCTTTAAAGATTGGATACAGTTCCAAGGTTATGTGAGATAGGAAACTAAAAGCTATCACTTTCCTTCTCCTATTTTGCCACCACTAATCCGAGTCTTCCGCCAACTTCTTGCATCGAATTTTATATTTACAAACCTGAGCTGAGGGCAAACGAAGTGTAAAATCAGGGCACTTGGAGAATACCGATTTGATTTGTAGGTGGCCGTTTATATACCCACAAACACAACAAATTTATTGCAAAATGTGAAGGCAATGAAATTTTACCAAGGTCTGAGAACGTTAAACCATATTTAGTACCTCGTTTATGCTTCCACTTAATACCTGGCAGTGACTTTGGCATTCGTCTAACTCCTGCAAGCGTGGCCCGGCCCTCGAGCCGTGCTCAGGCATAGTCCCTTCGTTCTATTTGGAACGCGCGTATTC